GAGCTCATGGGTTTTACAGGATTGTCAGGTCATGAAGCTTGGCAGGGACCTTGGGGGGAGTACAACCCCTTGCTAAAAGCAAGTACAATCAGCAGAGGCCAGACCAGGCTGCTTTAGGCCTTGTTTTAGGAAGGAGAGTCCACAACTTGTTGGGCCAAACTGCTTCCAGTTCTTATTCATCCTCAGAGGGAAAATTATTTTCTATTATACCCAGCACAAATCTCCCCTGTTTCGGTACATGACCACTGTCTCCTGTTCTTCTGTCCAGCACCTCCATAGGGATCCTGGCACTTCCTGCTCAGTAACCTTCTCATAGGCGTGGAAAGGAACTGTTTGGTCTCCTCTAAATCTTCTCCTTCAGGGTGAACAAGCCCAGCTTCTTAAGCTTTACTTCACATGACTAGTGCTCCAGCCCCCAAATATTGTGGTTCTCCAGTAGTCTTCCTCTGATTTTGGGAGACAATATTCCATTATTTCAGATGACATTTTGAAGAACGAATGAAGTAAGTGTATTTTAAGAATTTAAAGAAGGTAAAAATTGACTTAGAAATAAAAAGTTTGAAGCTGGGTTTTATATAAATATATTTATTTTTGAAGGTTAGGTATAAAGCTTGTCAGATTAATTAATTTCTTTCACTGAAAATAAAGATGTGTCTTTTCTACTGCAATGTAAGGCTGCTAAGACTTACATGTTGTTGCTGAGATCCTGATCTTAGGAAAGATGATGACTTTCATGCAGCAATGAGTTGGCCAGTTATAAGAATATGGAGAAATTTCTTCTAAAGTAAACCTTAATGTTGCTCATTTTGAAATGATGAAGTTAGGATACTTACAGATCAAATCCTAGGGAGCCCAATAAAGAATGGAAAGATTCAATTACAATTACTTTATATCGCAAAAGCAGCAGTGCTTTGGCTTTAATACAGCTGAAATGTAGAAGGTAAGTTCTTTTACAGTCAGTGAAACCTCTGTGGAGAACAACACATAAAAATTAATTTTCTATGAACTGAAATTTAGTTCTAGAAAATAATATGATTTCTGAACAGTGTGTAATGAATCATCTCAGCACTATTCAAATACATTAATTTGGCTGCTGAGAGTTTTGAATGATCTATGTCAAATACACCCGTTCTTAGCTATCCCCATTGCTAAAGCTGTTGCCCAGACTGTCATCATCTGGTAATTCAATCACTGCCACATCATCCACTTGGGCCTTGACTAAAGCATTCTTTCTATGACTTAATTGACCATGCTCAGATAATTTTCCCAGTTCCTCCCTGTGACAAAGCTGGCCTCAGAGTGAGTGCAGTGTCCATTAGAGCCGCAGTACACAAAGTGCCATACCTACAGTCAGTTCCTCTCTGGTAACTGAAGTGCAGCTGCAGAGACAGAGGTCTACCATGTCCTACAGAAGTCATCCCAGTACTTTTCCTTCCTCCAATTTTTAATCTCTTGGAGCCCCTGACTTTTTCCCCTCTGACTGTAAAAATGGGCTCTGCAGACTCTGGTTTGGCTTCCAGGCCACTGACACCACACTTTGACAGATGTCAGTCATCTTCAGTGCCAGCAGGACACCTGTCATAAAGTCCTTTCATACTTTTATTTCAGACACTTCCAGAAGTGGAGCTGTGTTAGTGAGGAGGTCCTGGTATCACTGTTTGCAAAAAGGACTCCAAAACTCTAGAAAGCTGTTGTAGAGTCAAAGACACATAACGGGTTTGTAGACATGAAACAGTAAAGGAGATTAGTTCCTGGAGCCCTTACAAAAGCGTAGTTAACACCTTTGTTTCGTTTCCCCTTCTTGTACTTTGATATCTCTCTCCCTGGCATTAAAGCTTGAGAGGATCTCTAGGGTGCTTTTCTTATTTCTGCATCAGAAAATCACAAGCACATACTCTAAAGATAATGCTAGTACAAAAAGGCTCACTTTTAGCTGTCTAGGGTACACAACATGTCACATGAAACATGAGTGGATACAGGGACTGCACATCTTGGAGAGCTCCAGTTGACAGTAAACACACTTGACTGAAAAAGATTATGGCATCAGTTGCAACAAGTTTTACAGAAAAGTTTCACTGTGTAAGTAGATTGGGGAAAATAAAGACCATAAACCACATATACACATGCCTTTTTTTGGCACTCTTTCCCTTAGCATCCACTCCAAACCCACTTGGATACCACTGACACTAAGTTAGACTGACCTTGACTGAGTTCTTAGATCTGTGTTAATTAGTTTGACAGGTCACATCTTTGCAATTCTTAGATTATGACAGCACTGCAAGATACTGGTGCTCTGCATAGCACAATGGAGTCTCACACACTGTAACACCATCATGACAGTTCTAATAAATAAATATTTTGCATCAGAAAATACTCATACCATAGAAACATAAAATGGCTTGGATTGGAAGGGACCTTAAAGAACATTTAGTTCCAACCTTCCTGCCATGGGCAGGGACACCGTCCACTAGACCCAGTTGCTCAGAGCTCCATCCAACCTGGCCTTGAGCATTTCCAGGGATGGGGCAGCCACAGCTTCTCTGGGCAATCTGTGCCAGTGTCTCACCACCCTCACAGCAAAAAATTTCTTCCTAATAGATAATATAGAACTACTCTCTTTCAGTTTGAAGACATCCCCCCTTGTGTCACTACTGCCCCTTGTAAAAATTCTTTCTTTTCTTGTAGGCTCCCTTCAGGTATTGGAAGGCTGCAATTAGGTCACCCCAAAGTCTTCTCTCTTCTAGACTGAATAATTTCAATTCTCTCAGGCTTTCCTGAAAAAGTTCTCCATCCCTCTAATCGTCTTGGTGGCCTCCTCTGGACTCACTCCAACAGGTTAATGTCTTTCCTGTGCTGGGGACGCCACAGCATTCCAGGTGGGTTGTCATGAGAGCAGAGTAGAGGGATGAAATTGCCTCTGTCAACCTGCTGCCCACGCTGCTTTTGATGCAGCTCAGGACATGTCTGGCTTTCTGGGCTACAAGTGCACATTGGTGTCCCATGTCCAGCCTCTCATCTGCCAGTGCCCCCAAGTCCTTCATGGTAGGGCTGCTCCTGTATTGGTACTGGGGGTTGCCCCAGTCTATGGGCACATTGCACTTGGTCTTGTTAAATTTCAAGAGATTCCCATGTGCCCACTGCTTGAGCTTGTCCTGGTCCTTCTGGATGGATCCCGTCCTTCAGGCGTGTCAGCTGCATCACTCAGCTTGGTGTCTTCTGCAAAATTGGTGAGGATGCACTCAATCCCTACAGTAACATGACTTTAAAAAATCTTTATAATTTATACTATTGATTAAACCAGTGTAGTGCTACTATTATACAGTAGAAAAATATAAAGAAGGGCAGCACAGGGATTAAATATCTGAGAGCTTGAGAATCTCAGGGCACAGTCTCATATGCCCCTTTTGATTTCAGGCAAGTTATTTATCCTCTTTGTAAGTCAGTCTTCAGTATGGAAACTGATGCTACTGATCCTTCTCTGCTCCAGAGGAACATTATACAATAAATGAAGTAAAAAATTCTGAGGTCTCAGGATGGTATGGAAAACACCATACAGTCAGACTTCACTTATCTATGGTTAGATTGTTCATGGATGAAAAGCTAGCATGGATCTAACATGACATATTAGGTCAGGCACAGTGCCACATGAATGCAGTTATGCTCTTTCTAAGGCCAGCTCTGCTGTGGAAAGAGTACATCTGCTTTTGTGAGAGCCTAGCTGGCTCCATCCCGAGGCAGCTCAGGTATTTCAGCACCAAAATTATTGGCACGGGGTTTGGGGGGAGGGAGGAAGAAGGAGGAGCAGAAACACCCAGCACAGACCTAGCCTCGATCCTGGATCTAGCTGGGTTTATAAGACCTGGCTTTGCACCAGCTGTACCAGATCCACGCTGCCTCATGGCTTTTGCACCTGCTTCACAGAGCCCCAGGCCCTACGGGGCTCCTTAGGTCAGGCACAACGGGATGAGCACCACAAGCAAAGAGTCACGGTCTGTCCATACCTGGCTGGGGAACAGGCTGTGAGTGAGGAGCAGAGAAATAAACGGCACTGTGGAGTCAGGGTGGTGGATGTTATGAGGAATTAACAGATCTTCCGTATCAAAACTAAATTCACTTGGAAACTCTTGGCTTCCCCCTTGTTTCAGCCTTTCGTATCTGTACTATTGGGATTCCCATTTTACTAACTTTACAATACCTCTGCCAAGTAGAGATGTGGCTAGAAACAAGTACAAATCACTTACTGAAGTCACACTTTAGGACTTCCAGAGCCATCTTGCCAAGACAATGAAAGTGGTGTTTCAAGGAAGAGACTTTGAAATGTGTGAGATCAGACTTTAGGAAGCCAGAGGGTGTGGGCAGAATAAATCAATCAAGGTCTTAAATCCAGGCTTGAAACATATAGTTATCAAGAAGAAAATAAAAGGGAAAGGAAAAATAAAAAAGAGAGAAAGAACAGGGCGAGAAGTGAGGAGAACTAGGTTTCCCCAGGCTGTAAGCAAGGCAGAGAAAGAGAAAGGACGAGAAGGCTTTGCGGGGAGAGGCAGAAGCCCGCCGAGGAAGAGCCTCCAGGCGAAAGCATCAGCGGCTCTCGGGCCGGCTGGCGTTAGGGCCCGGCGGAGGCGGGGGCGCGGGCCGGGCGGGCGGCGCGTGGGGCTGCCCCGCGGCGCGGAGCCGCGCTCGGGACCCGGCGGCGGGACGGGGTGGCCGCGGGGCCGCGCCGCGGGAGGTAGGGGGGGACGGCTTCGCCCCGCCGTGCCGCGACCTGAGCGCGTGTGGGCGGGGAGCGCCCCGCGCCGGGATAAATAGCGCTGTCCCCCGGCTGACAGCCCGTCCCGGGGCGCGCGGGGCCGGCGGCAGCGCTCGCCCGCCGCCGTGGGCAGGCTTGGGGCTTCTCGGCGAGTCCGCTCCGCGACCCCGCTCCTGCCCCGACACGGGTTGTGACTTTTCTCTGTCTGTTTGTTTTTGGGGAGAGCTAGAGAAGAGGAGGACCAGGAGAGCCCGGGTCCAAGCTTTTTACCTCTCTCTCCCCGCAGCACAGGGGAGATGCTGGAAGCGGCGGTGAGTTCGCAGCGCCCGAGAAGGGCGGCAAGAAGCGTGTAAACTCCTGCGGTCCCCAGCGGCAGCCGCTGCCCCGCGACCCTCCGCCGGCCCCTCCTCGCCCCGCACGCCGCCGGCCTCGCCGCCCCTCGCTGCCGCCGGAGGAGGCTGCCCACCCCAGCGGCCCAGGATGCAGTTTCGCCTCTTCTCCTTTGCCTTGATCATCCTGAACTGCATGGATTACGGCCACTGCCAGCCCGGCCGCTGGAGACGCAGCAAAAGAGGTGAGTGGCGCCGGCTGCTCACCCGGGACGCCGGCCGGGGCAGCTGCGGGAGCGCCCGCGGGAAGGGCCGCTCTCCGGCAGGTGAGCCGCGCTCCGGCTCCGCGGGCACCGAGCCGGCACGTGGGGCGGCGGCGGGGGCGAGCCCGGGGGCGCGGGGCCGTGCCGGCGTGGCGACCGCTCCGCGGGGCTGCTCGCCGCCGTCCTGCTGCGGAGGTCGAGCCGGGAGCAGGAGGAGCGGCGTGGACGTGAGCTCCGATGGGAAGGGGCCGGCCGGAGCCCGGGGCAGCCGGGGACGAGAATGCCGAGCGGTAGGCGCACTGCCCCCGGCCCCCACGGCGTGTCCTCCCCCGGGGCCGGTGGAGCCGGGGTCTCGCTGGGAGCTGCCCACCGCGGGAGGGGCCGCAGCGGGCAGGGAACGTCGCTGATGTCGCCGTCGCTCCGCGTCCAGCGGCTGCCGGGGGATCGCTGTTAGCCCGCGCAGTTAGAGGCGCTTGTCCACGGGACGGACTTTGAAGCTGTTTTCCGTGGATGTTTTCGAGGCAGAAAGGCGGCTTCTCCCCTCCGTCCTCCGGTACCGCCGTGCCGCTCCCGCGGGGCTTGGCCGCCGGGAGAGCCGCGGCGGCGGAGAGCACCGCGCCGTGCCCAGCTGTGCCGCAGCTTTGCTGGAAACGTGCAGATCCCTTTGAGGAAAAGACATAAACGGTGCGTTGGGGCTTCATCGATTTCCCTAAACGCTGATGTCGGGGTGCCGGAGCTTTGAGCCGGAGCGGTGCAATATGCCAGTACAGCTCCCGTGTGGACGGAGAGGTTACTGCAGCGCCTGCCGGCTGGCAGCCTGGCCGAGGCGTCGTCTGTTTCTTTTTTAATATTTTTTAAAATTTTTTTAAGCGATGGGGAGATTCACCTTATTAAAAAATGTTTTATTATCCACATATTCTGAATTATTTTTCTATCTCTTTTCCTGTTATTTTCTCGGCCGTGCATCCCCTTCGCATTTCTAAAGTTTGCTGAAAATCAGGTGGCTCAAGCTGCTGAGAAATTTCTGAAAGAGTTGCACTTTTAGTGGTATTATTTGGAAGGGGAGGGACTTAACATCTCCGGTGTTAAGCTGGTACAAATAGTAATAAAACCGTGAGAAGAAAATAGTTTGCATATTCGTGCATATGTCATCTTCAGAGTAGGTACAAATAAAATTGGAAGGCAGTTTGGTTTTGATGGTTTCCAGAGTTTAATTTATGTGTGTGTGGCTAAAACGATAGCAGTCCTTTAAAGTGACCAGACTATCTGTGGTAACAAAGGGTATACTGTGTCTTTAATTAAATGTGGAACTACTTAGAGTGCTGGCTAGACAGCGGAGGGTGATAGTGGTATTTCTGCTTTACAACAGAGCTTAAGGGCTGCATTGTGGGAGTACTGAAATGAATAGACATCTAACTCAAGTTGTGTGAATTGTCCTCTTACAAAAACTTAAGCTGGTTTTAATTGATCTCATGTTCACTGATTGATCCTAGACCAATTGTTGTGCTTGTTGAACAGTTGGCTTTTCCAAAAGAGATTGATTTAAATTAGTTTTTAGTTTAATTATTGGATAAATGCGATCAGTATTGACAGTTGACTTACTGGCTCTGTTTTGTGCTATCACCTATGGGTTTTGTTTTGGGCTTAGAAGAATGCAGTCTTTTTCAATTAATAAGTATAAAGAAGTAAGCAAAGCCAGTTCTAAGCACAGAAAGCACAATCTAAGAATGTATTCAAATTATAATAGGTATTTGCCATGACACATCCAGTCTGAAGTAATGCTTTCGTACAGGACTCAAAATTCCAATAATTTCACAATTTTTCCATATCCCATCTGCAAATAATCAGGCAGTCACTGTGGGGTACTGGCAGTTAAAATTTCTCTGGCATTCTGTTTTGTCTGTTACATGATCTCAGATGCTCCATAATATCGTTTTCTTAATGAAATACAATTTTTGGCATACATTAAGTCTCCTGTGTGGTAGGAATCAATTGCATTCAGTCTGGAATTATGGGCAAATATCATGTGTAGCTGATTTTTTTAAAGCAGCTAAATGTAATAAACTTAAAGTGTATATGCCTGTATTGGCATTTGCTTGGATTTGTTGCTGATGTAGAATACTCTAGTAAAGAAGACTTAAGTAAATTTGGGGAGGTGTTCCCAGAATTCCTCATTCACCATCTGCTTGCAACCCTTTCCCAAATCCCAAAGGCTTGCAACATTGCAGTAGAAGCAAAATAATAAAATAGGATTTGGAAAATGCTTGCATTGATTTGTGTTTTTTTAGTCAATATCACTTACTAAATTTTTTTTTATAAATATGTAATAATCAACAGGCTCTACTTATTCCACTGCTGCTCTTAGTTACTTTTTCAGCTCATTAGAATATTGCTTTGCATAGTTGCCCAGAATAAAACCTTACTTTCCTTAAGACACCTCACTAAATTCTCCCTCTGGAAGTCACTGCCCTGACCAGAATTAAGGCCTTTTAGCCTTTCCTGCAGAAGATATTTTAAAACTATTTAAGGGTTACATAACTTAAAGCTCAGTGGTGTAATATCACAGCTGGTTTAGCCTAATCTTTCCTTTTCTTGTTGAATTTTGTAACTTGATTTTTTTGTTTCTCTTGTAAGCCTTCTTCAATGAAAATTTATATTTATTTTTCAGATTTCTCTTTAGCAATCAGTATAAGATGGGCAGCTTCATGTCTTGGCATTTCACTGAATGTTGGAGGGTGCATGAAAGACCAGTGGTTTTTCCCTTTGAGATGTAATGAAAACTTTTCCAAAGAGTACCACAAGTTGAAATGGGTACATAGTTAAATGGAGACTCTCAGGGAGGTGTGATGGCATTCTGCAAAAGTTTTGACAGAAGAGAATATAGGGATCATTATAAACAGCCATCAAAAACCAGATGCTAACAAAATTCCCCAAGTGAAAAATGTCAATATGATAGCAGTGCCTGCATTGAGGGGAAGACTCAAGAGTCTACAGAGAGGCTCTCTACAGTTGGTAAGACCAATGCTGAGTAATAAAAAATGTGAATGGGACACATTCACACAGTTAAACCAGAAGTTGTTTATATCCAAGAACTCAAAACCTGTGGCTGTAAAATACTTGTCTTTCCATTTAGTTCCTATTCATGGAGTGTGATGAGGACTAAGGTGAATACTTATGTCCTAGATGCTTACACTCTGCGTTAGAGGTACATAATGGTGGAATACCTGTGGCAAGGAGTGAATAATGAGTGACAGCGGTGATGGCAAAATATCTACAGGTAGAAACAGGAGGAATACCCAGGGCAGGAAATTTCCCAGGTGTTTCTCAGACCTCAGTATAGCTTTGTGCACAGTTTTTATTGAAGAATATGATTATATGGCAGGGCACAGTCACTGGGTTCAAAATTATGTCAAATAATTTTTTATCATATAATATAAGATGGGACCTGACCAGAAACCTGTTATTATTATAGGAAGTTGTTTCATGAATTTTCAACTAGAAAAAAAATCTGCTTGGGTATTGGGAATTGTGATTTAGCTTTCCTAACAAGCTATTTACCTGGTATAATCTTGGAACCTGTCTCAGCTGGACTGTATGGCCAAGCTTTGGGAAAGATAGATGATTTAAGCATTAGGGAAAAAGAAACTCTGTTGTATATACTTGACTGAAATAAATACCACAGCTACTTTTACAAGGACTGTAGTAGCTCTTAAAGAGTAATTTATCTCAAAAAAAAAAAAAGTCATACTATGTGACTTTTAATTGTCTAGCATTATCCAACTATTCTAGCTGTTATTAGCTAGTGTATCCTCCTCTCTTTGAGGTTCAAACATGTTATGTTTGAAGGACAGTTAACTTTTTTATCTGCAGGTTAAGACTTAAAATTCTGTGTGGAAGCAGTACTTTAAGATACTTTTTTTACCTCAGGTGTAACATTAAGCAGTTGTAACAGAACCTGTGAAAGAACTAAGTTGTGCTTCCACAAGTGGTAATTTTCCAAGCACTGATGATGAGGAGAAATGCTTCCTATGAGGAACATGGCTTCCCTTCCTCAGACCTGTACTTAGGATAGTTACTGATCATTCTTTATACATACATTGCTGCTACAGCAATTAGAATATACTAATGCTGTAACCATTGAAAAATTACAACTTTTAAACCTTTGGCTATTTACACTTATTACTGGGTACATCTGAGGAAGTTTCTTAAACTGCCAGAAATCAAAATTTCTGTGTGAGTGACTGAATACTGAACTAGCTAATGATGCAGTGTTAGTGAGGATAAGCAGTGCTCAAACAGATTGTGAAGATTTGCAGGAGAATGCTTAAAGCACCAAGACCAGGTTTCACTGTCAAAATAGACGTTAAGTTTAGGTGTTTGATTCAGCTTCTCAAAGTTGGTTTTCTGTGCTGCTTATAGTATTTAAAAGATATCCTTCTGGGCTTGGTGTGTACAAGACTGTCTTTAGCAAGCAAGAGGCTGGGCAGGATATCTTGGGGCAGGCAATGCATTTGGCACCTTTGGGTGTCCCAAGACTATTACTGGGGAAGCTAGAAATGGGAAGCATGTTCTGGCACAGTGTTGTGGTGTGTGTGCCTTTCCTTGCCTGTATCCATCCCTTTAGGTTCCATTATAGGTCATTTGAGTTTAGGATGCAGGGCTAGATGGGTGTGCCTGATCAGACCTTGAAGTCTGTGTACATGCTTCTGTGTTAAAACCTGCTGTAAGATTTACACTGTGATGAAGAGCTTAGATTTGTATACTTGATAAACTTGTCTTAACTGTATATCTTCCTCTTTTGGGGTATGGAGGGGATACACATTCCTTTTGTAAGCCTTTTCTAAGGCTTGGCTCAAAGCTCTCACTAAAGCAGCTCAAAATGCATGAAAGGTACTGAAAGTGAGTTTTTACACTAGTATAGGGACATTATGGTGATAAAAGCAAGAATGCAATTTCTCAATTCAATGTCAGCATAATTACTA